AGTATCCAGAAGAGGGCATTGGATCCCTTGAACTGGAGGTACAGGTGGTTGTGAGCAGCCCAAACTCGGTGCTGGGAATTGAACCTGGGTCCTCTTCAAAAGTAGCACGTGACCTTAAGTGCTGAGCCATCTCTCTAGGCCCTCAACTGTTACTCTTGCCACAAAACTGTCACCTCACACAGAAGGAGTAAGTCCTGGTGCCTGAGATGTGACTGACTTAGAATTGCAAGTGATAAAGAGAAATTGCTTGTATGACAGACTTGTACACTCAGGGGAGATACCCCCGAGTCAAAGTGATAAGGAGAACATTTGCTGGAGCCTGATCCACTTGGAAGCCTCTGCTGTTCAATTCTTCCCTCCCAGCCACTCGACCAGAACTAAGTTCTGACAATCTGAGCAACTTTGTGGCAAGGACAGATGGATGACCACAGACTCCACACAGCACTTTATTTTATGCCCTCTGGATGACTCTCTTGTTCTGAAACTTTCTATGAGACCACCCTGCACAAGTGCAAGCAGGGAACGATTAGCCTCAATCTATGTGCACTGAGAATTTAGGAATTCACATAGCTTGGATAAGAAAAACTTCAACACACTTACATTTTTCTTCCAGTGTTTTACGGAAATACTATACTTAATTGGAGGAAAGAAACAAAAATGTTTATATGGACATGTATTTAGATTGTCATAGTTTATAAAAATCAAGATGAATTTAGAAGGAGTGTGTGTGTGTGTGTGTGTGTGTGTGTGTGCATGCACATGTGTGAGTAGGTGTAGAGGCCCAAAGCTGATGCTGTGTGTCTCCAATGGCCTTTGTTTACTGAGACAGGGTCTCTCACTGATTCTACTGAGTACAGCCAGCCAGCTTGTCAGAAGGTATCCCATTTCTGCCTCTCAAGTGCTGGTAAAGGGGCTGGAGAGGCCCCAGCTACACAGGTTGGCAGTCAAGGCTCTAAGTACCAAGTGGCTATGCCCGGCTTTCTGCACTTGCACAATAACATCAATGGATGGGCCAGATTGGAAATCTTCCTTGTTTTGGCCTGCTTTGTTTTCATTTCCCGGCTGACAAGCTCTTTCCTGATTGGTCCTTATTCTATACCTCATTTGCATACACCCACTTGAACCTATATAAAGCTATGGCCCGTATAGACTTTTTAAACAGGCTGGCTTTTAGCCAGTTGCCCTGGGGTTTTTGGAATACAACTGAAGACTTCAGTGTTAAGAGTGCTCCTCTAAGAAGACTAGCCCAGGTTTGAAGCCAGTGAAGATGGAAAGACCTCCCATGCATATGGATTTGCAAGATTAATGCTGTGAACACAGATATTCTACCAAAAGCAATCTATAGATTCCATGCAATATCAAAAGTTTAATGATATTCTTTACAGGGGGCTCTTAAAATTCACATAGAAGCAAAGACCCAGATAGCCAAAGGAATCCTGACTGAAAAGAGTACTACTGGGGTATTATCATAACAGATTTTAGGTTACTCCACAGAGCCACAGTAATAAAAACAGCATGGTACTGGTACAAAAACAGACACATAGACCAACGGAACAGAATCAGATAGAATTGAGGACCCTGACAAAAGGCGAGAAGTGTACAGCCACCTGATTTTTAACAAAGACGTCAAAAAATGCACACTAGAGAAAAGAGAGCATCTTCAACAAACAGACCTAGGAAAGGTGGATATCTACATGCAGAAGAATGAAACTGGATCCTTAACTCACCCTATCCAAAAATCAACCCAAGGCCATGAACTAGGCGCTTGGAAGGCTGTAGTGCTGAGAAAGCCATGCAGACGGTGGAGGCCCAGGTCAAGAGCCTTCAAAGGAGGAGAATATTAACACCTGGATTAAAGACTGGTTTTGTGATATTGTGGCCCAAAATGTGGCAGTTTTCTGTTCTTGTCCTAAGAACTTGTTCATGGTAAATTTAAAAGTGATGGACTCACTTCTTTGGCAAAGATTTCAAGAGAGCCCAATATAGATCCTGTGGCACAGTTATTAGCAATCACTCTTATGTGGGTCTAAAAAAAAGGCAACAGGGGCAGAAGAGAAAACAAACTGCATAGTCTGCGGAGAACCGGGACACTACTGAAAACAGTGCAGCCAAAGTTTGGTGGAAAAGAGGCTGCAACTGTTAAAGAGACGAACGCCTTACAGGAAAGGCTTGATCTGAACTGGAACAATGGGAAGGGCGAGATCCCTAAGCTTCCAACTCAGGGGAAAAAAAAAAAGTATAAAATGTTTTCTGCTCCTGAAAGGCAACTGCGATCAAAAGCTGCTGCTAACGTGGTTCCGGGGGCCAGGGCCATCCCAGGCTGGCAGCCGAACTTGACAGTGTTGTCCATATGGAGCTATCTTTAGAGGCATCAAGTCTGAAGGAGTGAAGGGGTTGTAGAATCATCTATTGCAGTTTCAGAGAGCCTCCGAGCCCAGGCAACATGTCTCAGGGGAGTCCCAATGTAAAGGCCCTGAGAAGTCACTGTGTGAAGCTGCAAAAGCAAAATCTGGGTTGTGTCGGAGACCACAGACTTTAGATATGCCAGAGCCATGTGCTATCTGCCAAGGAGACTGGCATACAAAAATTTGAACCCACCCAAGAGAGGTGTCAAAGCTGGAGGGGCAGAGCCATCTAAGCCCTTTAAAATTGAAGTCCCAATTATCAGACATGGAGCTACAGAATATGGAGTTTGAGTTTTGCTTACTCCAGTATTTCCTCACTGTGCCCTCATCCCTCCATTTTAAAATGGTAATGTGTCTTCTGTGCCACTGTATGTTAGGAGTACGTAACTCACTTTTTGATTTTACAGGAGGTCGCAAGTAAGATACTGCATGGAATCTCAGAAGAGACTGGCCTTGTACACAGTGTTGGAACTATAAAAGACTACAGGGACCTTTGAAGTTTGACAAAATGTATTTTGCATTACAGAGGCCAGGGAGCAGAATGTGATGCTTTGAATGAGAAATGTCCCACATGTTCCCGGCATTTGAATTCTTGTTTCTAGTTGTTGGTGCTGTTTGTGGAGGTTAAGGAGGCGTGGCCTTGCTGAAGGAGGTATGTCACTAGAGAAAAGCTTTGAGAGTTAAAAGAGACTCACACCATTTCTAGTTCACTTTCTCTCTCTGCTTCCTGCTTGAGGTTTAAGATGTAAAGCTCTCAGCTTCTGCTCCTGCCACCATGCCTGCTACTTCTTGCCATCGTGGACTCATCCCTCTGGAACCATAAGCCCAAATATACCCTTCCTTTTCTAAGTTGCTATGGTAATGGTGTTATATCATAGCTACCACTAACTAATACAGGTGCCCTGCATGGGTGGACAATCATGCTCCTAGAAGACACAGAGTATTTAATTAAAATCTCGGTGCCTATGTATTATCGATGAGGAAGGCCTCATAGCACCCAAAATAATACAAGCTGTCACCACTGCACCATAACCAAGTGCCAAGACTCTGTCACTGAAGATATAAGTAAGACACATTGGTTACTGAGCACTGAGCAATAAGGCTAGAACTGGCCTGAGAACCTCTCCCTGGCTGGCTGGCCTTTGCAGAGCCAAATGGTACTGTGCCAGCCACCGGGGAGGAAAGTCAACCGGGAGAGCCAGAATGCTACAGTACCAACCACCAGTAAGATGTACCCACTAGGGCCATAGTGGTATAAAGGTTACAGGATAGCCAACTGCTTCCGGAGTGGACTGAGGCACAGGAAGGAGCTCAAGCCTGGTACTGTAAACCTGGTTAAAAGGCTGTCGCTGGGGAGGTCCCAGGCCTCAGGCAGGTACCCACAACTGTTGATTTACTTTAATATAGACATAATGTCAAACGACCTCATGGACACACTGATGTATATATATCCTTGATTAGCGCGTATCTTAACCTTGGTCGGAGTCACCTTTGTTAAGAGTTGGCAGTAGTTAAGGCATAGACTCCTAACCTGTCCGATTGCTGAGAACAAGTGACTGTTAGTGCTCAGCATTAAGTGTCAGCCCACGTCCCTACCCCAAGGCTCATCCACACCGCAGAAGTGGTAGAAAGAAGCAAAGAGCCAAAGGATAGGAAGGAATGCCGTGAAATACTATCTGGGGACATGACATGGCCACTATCCCCATGAACCCACAGCAGGCATGGTGACCTGCACAAGGTCAGTCAACTTGGCAGCAGGCATCACTAACTGGACTCTGCATTAACGAAAAACAACAACAAAAAAGTGAGAGGGGGTGGGGCGGGACAGGAAGGTGTGGGGGAGGGGCAACCATGGGGCAGGGCGGGTGGGGGAAGTAGTCCAAAAAAAAAAAAAAAAAAAAAAAAGAACTGGGCAGGAGAATCAACAGTCCCACAGCACTGCAGGAGCTACACATCTATGGGACTTTCATGTGGGATTTGGGGTTCCTAACTCCAGCCTTCAGTCTTACAGGGTAAACGTTCATCCACTGTAGTATCTTTCTAGTCCTGATTTTAGAAGGACTTTTTTTTTTCTAAGTTTAGGATCTCTTGTTAAGGCTTCAGCAAAACCACTGTAAAAATTAACTTCAAACAAACTGCAAACAAACAAAGAAACAAAATCTCCCTTTTTGTTTTCTTTAAGGACCTCTATGGCTTTCATAGGAAATAGTCCTTAATGATAAAGGGTTTTAGAAGACCACATCCAGGACCTGGTGTGGTAGTCCTGGCTTATAATTCCAGCATTCATTCGGAGGACGAGGCGGGAGGGCTGTGAGGCCAGTAAGGATACAGTGAGCTCCAGGAGTCTGCACATCACAGACAGACTGTCTCTAAACAAGTACTGCTACATTCCAACTTTAAACACCCAGCTTCTTGGTGGGGAGGGGGGAAGGTCTCTCTTGAGAATGCCTTAATAGTTTATATTCTCTAAGTTCATATGTAATTTCTTATATAATGAACTCAACTGAGATGAACATTCTAAACACTGATATTTCCTGTCACCCATCTAAGACATTTTCTTAAAGCCAAAACAAACAAACAAAAAAGTGTGCATACCTTTTTTCCAAATCTCTGATTTTCTCTCTTAATGGTTCAACAATCTGGAACAAGAACAAAAATCAGTTTTAGAGCAAACAGGCCTTCCATTCTTTTGCCCTAGCTTAGCACGGGAGGGTCACACATAAAGCAAAACTGATTTTAACAGGGCAAACGGTCTACAGACTGACCAGCAGAAAGTCCCCACACGGAAGAGGATGACGCTTCAGTTGCAGAAGCACTAAATAGCATCAAGCTGCCATGAAGGCCCCCTCCCGCCCCGCCCCGCTCCCCCAAGAAGGGGAGATTGATAGATATGCGAATGAAACAGGAACAAAGCGGAAGGAGGGCAGACTAACCTCTTCGATCTTGCTTTCGAACTTTAGTTCACCGTTTTCCTGGATAGACCTGTTGAGCAGAAAGCTGCAGAACTGAGATCAGTTGAAAGACTTCGTGTCTTCAAGATTTGCTTCTGAACCAATCACCCCAAAGCAAATCCTACTTAGGGACCCTCTGCCCGGCTTGCTCAAGTACTGATCGCCACTTCCAGCTCTCCCCAGCAGGGGGCACAGAAGAGAAAAATAGGACAGTGTGAGGGAATCTCCTCAGGTCTATGAACAAGTGGCGTTCCCCCCCCACACAACAGATTGTTTCAATTAAACTAAATAATCTTACTTCCATGTTACACCCAACAAGAAATTTTAAGACGCAGGGTGTAGCATGTCTATAGGGGTCTGTGTTTGTCTATTGGGCTTTCTCAGGGATTTAACACAAAATGGAGTTATTCCAAGTAAAAACAGAGTACCTTTAAAGGAGACCAGAGCACCCCACCTATCCACACACAGCCACCTTTGTTAGGGGACACACACTGGCAGTGGGATCAGATCAACACAGCCCCACCAGTCTCACATAACCAATTCCACAAGGGGAGGCTGCTGGGGGTGAGGAAGCCAGCTTGTTCCTTGTGCTCAGCTTTAAGCTCCCAATGCCAACTTCCCCATCAGAACAGCAGTGCTAGTCTTCCATGTCCTGATACCAGGAGATAGCAGAGTGGAGCAAAAGTCTCTTTATACAGACAACTGCACTACTGTAGCAAATCCGCTTGTAAAATGAATGCTTGTTACTCTGCAGCTGATTTCTTAAGTTTTGTTTTTAAACTTGGTACAAAATTTAGAAAGCCGGTTTGGTAATGAATGGCTGTTAATTCTAGCACTCGGGAGGCTGAGGCAGGAGGATTCAAAGGTAGCCTGTGCTACATGGTAATACTCTGTCCCAAAACAAACAAAACAAAACATGCACGCTCAAACTAGAGGGTCCCACAAGCCTTAACCCCAGACAGGAAGGAGGTCTAGACAACCACATCTAGTACTGACCAAACAACCCTAACCTGAAAATCCAAACATCTAAAACCCAAAATACCCTGAAATCTGAAACAAGGTGAGCACCAACAAGAAAATTCCACAGCTGACCTCAAGGGACAGGTCAGGGTTAAAACACAGGCTCACCAAAAGTATCTATAAAGTCACCTTCGGGCTATATATATAGTGTAAGAAATACAAGTGAATTCCGTGTTTAAACACGGGTCCTATCCCACACAGTTTCATTCTACATGCAAAAATATTCCAAAAATGTAAAAGAAAACAAACAAACACCCTCTAAAATCTAAATGCTTCTGGTCCCAAGCATTTTGGAGACAGGGAAGGCTCAAGCTGTAGTTGGCTCCCTGAGGCAAGAAGGCAACCCTGACTCCTAAGACATCCTTCTTGTGGAAGAGCTGTGCACAAGGCCCTCTGTTCCCACTCTAGCCACCCAGAATGCACTTCACACGTGAGTGGTAAAGGCGAGTGTCAACTGTGTGTATCTACGGGAGGAGGGGATGGAGACAGGTAACAACACACTGGCCATCGTCTCCATCTGAACTTCACCGGGATAAACTCTAAAATCAGTTGCATCCCTTGAGAACACCCACAGGAGAAATGAAACACCCAGATGTGTGAACAGCATAGCAGCTCATCAAAAATATTCAATTAACTCATGAGCCAAATGAGTTACAACTGACTCTATAAAACCCAACCATAATGCCCAAGTAATGAAAAACAATTACCTCATGTTAACAAAGTTGCCCCAAACAGCTGCAAGAGAAAGAAAAAGAAAAAAAAAATCAGTATTTAAACCTATAATATTCAGGGATTCCAACTGATCAAATTTTAATTTTTATACGCTTTTTAAAGTTCACTGAAAAAAAAAAAACAATTCACAAAGACAGTAAAATGTATACTCTGTTTTCAGGAAAATCAAGACTATAAGAAGTGGAAAATAAGATTCCTATGTACTCCTGCAGTTCTGGCATTTGGAAACTCAAGGATGTGCTTTGAAAAACATTTTGTCCTCAATATTCTGTTTAAGAAAGATTCAGTCCTAGAAAAAAAAAAGTCAAAGAATTGCATACCTCAAAGAAGGTAGGGTTCAGTCCAAGCTCTCCCTATGTGTGTCGATACAGTCAGAGCCCAGAGCGGCTCACCGGGGCCCGAGGTGCTGGCCCGCTGTTCACTGCAGCACTTCCCCACCTCCTTCCACAGCGGGCACTTGACAGTCCTCTCCCAGTCTGGTTACAGGCACCTGACCAGCGGGTTATCTACCAGGTGTCTGAGCACAGTGACCTCTAGTTAACTCCGCAGAATTAGTCCCGACCCAACAGTGACATCTTATCATAGATATCTAAACACATAAAAATGTTGAAAATCCTAAATCCGGTATCTGAAATGTGCCCAAATCTGATTCTGAGCCTTGGCTCAGAACTACTACAATCAGGAAATTCCATGCCGTGAAATTCAGTTTCATGCTCAAAATTTCTTAGAATATTGTGTAAAATTATCTTTAGGCTGCAAGTATAAGAAACAAATTGACTTTTTGTTTAGAGTCAGTTCCCTTCTCAAGACAACTCAAGGACATGCAAATACTCTTTTTTAAAAAAAAAAATCTCTGGAGGGGCTGGAGAGATGGCTCATCAGTTGAGAGCACTGGCTGCTCATCCAGAGGACCCAGGTTCAATTCCCAGCAGCCACATGGTAGCTCACAACTGTTTGTAACGCCAGTTCCTGGGGATATGACACCCTCACACCAATGCATATAAAATTAAATAAATTTTTTGTTTTTTTTTTTTGTTTTTTTTGTTTTTCGAGACAGGGTTTCTCTGTGTAGTTTTGCGCCTTTCCTGGAACTCACTCTGTAGTCCAGGCTGGCCTCGAACTCACAGAGATCCGCCTGCCTCTGCCTCCCGAGTGCTGGGATTAAAGGCGTGCGCCACCACCGCCCGGCTAAATAAATTATTTTTAAAAAATAAAATAATAAAAAACCTCTGGAAATCTGAAGCACATCTGGCTCCCGTTTTTTGGGAGAAGGAATAGGGAACCTACTGGACTATGCAAAATCATTTTAAATTATCGTGCAGAGGACTATTTCATAGACACTTTTGCTGTCAATGCTCAGTCCTGACATTCTGCCCACATTCCTCTCTGTCTTCTTTCCTGTCAGGTATGGGGAATTCACACACAATGTGGACAAATGTCTTTGCTGACAGGGCTGGCCACTGTGTGAGCTTGGGAAGACCTTGAAGTTAGTATGCAATGGGCCCAGGCATCTTCTTGTTGCCATTAGATCTGACTAGGATCAGTATCCAAAGCATCCCACACAAAAAATCTCACTGTCAAGAAGGGGAATGTAGCTGACACAGAAAAAACACCTCTCTCAAGGAGAGGAGAAAAGTACTGGGGGGTGGGAGGACCCTGAACTAGCTCACCAGTGGGAAGCAAGAAATGGGAGAAATTAAAAGAGAGACAAACTAAGTAGAGTATTTCTAAAATTTCTGTTATTGCCTGTTTTCTCATTCAGCCTCATTATGCAGACCTGACTGGCCTTACTAAGTAGACCAGGCTGGCCCCAGACTCACGGATCCATCTGTCTCTGCCTCCCAAGTACTGGGATGAAAGGTGTGCGCCGCCACACTCTGCTCTGCTTGGTTTTTATAAATGGGGTCTCAGTCTATAGCCCAGGCCGATGAGAACCCGTGGCAATTCTCCTAGCTCAAACTCTTTCGAGTGTTGAGATTACTGGTGTAAGCTACCAGCACCTAGACTGCATCCATCTAAAAACTTTCTCAGAGAAGAATGGCACTGTGCTCATTTGCAAAACTGTCCTCTAAGCTGATCCCCAACCCTGATGCCATGCGGCAAATGTTCCACAGTGATACCAACCTCAGAGAAGTGCTTGGTGGACAGTAGTAACCTGCTCCCCTATGAAGGACTCGCAGCAGTTCAGGAAAATGACCAGCTAGTGTCACCACCCGATGCTATAGACCAGAACACTTTAATTTAGAAAACATTCAAAATAGAAATCGTACAAACAGAAGGCACCCTGAGCACATTTCAAGTACAATTGGCAAAGAAAGTTCCAGCACAATGTTGCTGCACCCATTCTGCTATTAGACAGGTGAGTGCTTGCCTCTAACTCTTCTGAGTGTGTTTAGTGAATCAAAATGCTTCCTCTGACCTACAGCTCTATCAGCTAAGTGCTCCTGGCAAAGCTCTATGGTGTCACTGTGTTTTTACACAAAGGGACTGTCTTAGTCACTGTTCTATCTCTGTGACAAAGCACCAAGACCAACGCAACTGTTTTAGTCACTGTTCTGCTGCTGTGACTAGACACCAAGACCAACACAACTGTCTTAGTCACTGTTATATTGCTGTGACTAGACACCGTGACAAGACAACTCTTATAAAGAAAGCATGTAACTGGGGGCTTGCTCAGCTTCAGTGATTTAATCCATTATCATCACGGTGGGAACATGGCACCAAGCATGGCGCTGGGCAGTAGATGAGTTACATCCTGATCCACAAGCAGAGAGAGTGAGCAAGACGGCATGGCATGGACTTTTGAAACCTCAAAGCTCACCCTCAGTGACACACCTCCTCCAACAAGGCCACACCCCCTAATCCTCCCCAAACAGGTCCACCAACTGGGGACTAAGTATTCAAACACCTGATCCTGTGGGGGCCACTCTCATTCAAACCACCACAGGGACTCCAAGATTACACTTATAATACTTGTCGCAAGGGTGGGTGGCTCTGTGTCCCTCTCTGAACTCCATGGGCTTTGTGCTGCTTTGACCACAAGGAGATCAGAGGTGACTTCTGAAGGTGGGCACAGTCAGCCTGGTGGCCCTGTGTCACCGTGGAAGAAGGCTGGATGGGGAGTATTGTGGACACACTGACACCCAGTGCTGAGTGTACTGCTCCTGGGCTAGCCAAGAAGCCATGTGCTGGTGGGTCTTCCCAGTAGCTGCCTGATTTAACTCTAACCAAAGTCCCAGACATTAGAAAACATGAAAGACTCATTCCCCTTGAGAACTCCCAACCTCAAAGGCCACGATACAATGTACAGTAGTTAAGTGGTCAAACAGCCTGAATCAGAGCAGAGCTCAGTTCATCATTCCCTTTAACTCACAGATGTCAGACATCAATTCCAGCCCTCAAACAGAAGCAGGCATGAGGTGCGTTTCCAACCAGCCCACCTGTAGCATTTCCCTCAGCAGAAGCAACCGATTCACAGGAACAGACTGTCTTTAGACACAGGAGTGTATAGGGTACAGTTCTGAGGAGATCCTCACCACCAGTGACTGAGGCTGTTCCCCCAATGAAACGTCAGCTGCTCCTGGGGAAGATGGGCCTTGCAAACCTTCAAAATACCAACAAGGCAAAAATTGTGGATGGGGTAAACATGTGACTAACCCTGGATGGGCTCTGAGGTGGCCTCGTTAAAATCCTCTCTCCCAGCAGACGAGAACATCCATCATCCTTGTGGTAAGAGCAACAGTGAACTTCTGGTCTAACTAGCCAAAAAGTTCAAATGAGAAGATGCTCGTTTTCATCCTTCCAATTCAAAAGGGAAGCTTCAATTTTCCACTTCCCACTGCAGACAGAGCTGAGGTGCTACAGGCCAGGCAACAGGAACCTCACTGAAGGGGCTGCCCACACTCTAACTGCAGCTTCTCCATCCTCACAGACCAGGTCTTGTGTATATGTGCTAAGAGATCACCCAGGATGGAAACCAGTCCCCAAGACAGTGGTGAATGAATGAGCCTCAGGCACAGCAAGACTTATCAGACCTCCCTGTGGCCCTAGCCTTGCCCTGTAGCTCCCAACCCCTAACCAGCCCCTGCTGATAGGTCCTGAACCCCAGTTACAAAACCCTTATCAGAGGCTCACACCGCCCAGGTTTATGTCATAAAGTCCTGCTGCTCTACTGCTGTGGTTTGACTGTCCCTCCAACATTCATGCTGTAATTTAATTACCATTGCAGCAAGCAGCCTCCCTGACCCGGAGTACCTTCCGATTTCTTCCATCACACTTGTGCATCCCGTCCTCAAACAATCCATGTCTCAACACAAATTGGTCTCTCTGATGGAAAGCAGGAAGATGCTGAGGCAGCTCGCTCTGACCATCCCCAAGTGCTGCTGTGCAGGATTCTAGGGCAGCTGGTTGGTGAAAGTTCCGCCCTACACTCAGCACAGCAAAGTCCGGCATGATGACCACAGTCCAGCACCATGACCAAGGCAACTAACTTATAGAACAAGGGTTCATTTGGGATTACAGTTCCAGAAGGGTAAGAGCTCCATCATGGTAGGGAAGAGGTAAGCATGTTATCATGCTATGCCAAGAGCTCATGTCCTTTACTGTAAGCACCAAGCAGAGAAAGGAAAGTACAAGTGGCACATGACTTTCCAGTGACATACTTCTTCTAACAGGTTACACCCCCTAAATTCCCCAAACACAATTTCCAATTGGAGACCAAGTGTTCAAATGCCCCAGACTATGGGGGGCATTCTTACCACAGAAGTGAACCCCAGAATGCCCTTGTCCCATATTCCTGAGCAGGCTGCCAGAAGGACCCTCTATAATGAGACTCTGCCAACACTTTTCTGGCCTAGGGATCACACAACACCGAATACTCTCTTTACAAAGGGCCATCAATCCTTTCTTCCCCTGCCTCTGGCCTTCCCAGATTCTGACAACTAGCCCCCAAGATGTTCCTCTGGGTCCTTCCTCTGCTCCACTGCAGAACCCTCACCTACACA